TGAAAATTTTCTGATGCACAAAAGTATTTTTAATCTTAAAATGAAATTACTTTGCATGTTGAATAGACAGCATGCAAAAAAGAAAAAAAGATGCAGGAGAAAAACATTGCTTTACAAACCTTAAGAATTAATAAAAAAAATTGATATTTAGCGTATGAAAGCATTGTAATGTTTACTGATAATCTGCCAAATTTTGATAAACATACGCTTACTAATTTAAATATTATAGCATGAAAACTGTAACAAGCAGTAAATGGTTACAAGGTCAGTCCCAGGGACCAAGCCCATGCAGAAGGAGTTAATCACATTCAATTACCATTCTTTTTCTAAGCTTAGTAATAGATTTTTAAATATTTGGGTTATTACATGCATGATGTAATTTATCATCTACTAAACACATACTTACAGAGTTACACCAGAGGACCAAACATCCACTTTAAATCCTGAGAAACACTCCAGACCATTGGCTATTTCTGGAGGTTGAAATGCTGGTGAACCTTGGCTAGTATGGCACGTATCATCTTTGGCAAACCTATCTAAAGCCTGAGAAAATAAAAGATCAAAGCACTTAAAAATTTAACCATATTAATAAAAAAATAACTAAATAAACATTGAGAAAACAAGAAAATCCAAAAGTTATAGTTAACCTTTCCTTAAACAATGGTATACACCCTAGGTAACCTAACCTACTTTAACTTAAACCTAACCTTTCCTTAAACAATGGTTGACCACCTTTCACTCATTCAAACTCTGAGATCTTGTCCAATCAATTGTGTTATACCTCTAACATGTTGAAGCCTTGCCTACTTACATCTTACAAAGTCAAACACTGATGTCTTACCCTTTCATATCTTTGATGTATCTCTTATATAGTAAATCATTGATGTCTTGCACTTTTCTATCTTGTGTTGTGTATACATATATATATATTACATAGTAAGACACTGATGTATGATCCTTTTAAATCTTGTGTTGTATATATATATATATTACATAGTAAAACACTGATGCCTTGTTGTTTTTGTCTCGTGTTCTATATATTACATACTAAAACACTCATGTCTTGTCCTTTTCTATCTTATGTTGTATATATTACGTAGTAAAACATTGATGTCTTGCCATTACGTATCTTCTGTTGTATCTCTTACATACTAAAACATTGACGTTATGCCCTTTTGTATCTTGTGTAGTACATATATTACATAGTAGGACACTGATGTCTTCCCCTTTTGTATTTTGTGTTGTATGTATTACACAGTAAACAATGATGTCTTGCCCTTTTGTATCATCTTCTACATATTACACAATAAACCAATGATGTTTTGTCATCTTCCCTTTTTATTCTGTGTTGTATATATTACATAGTAAAACAATGATATCGAGCCCTTTTAAATCTCATGTTGTATATATTACGTAGTAAAACACTGATGTCTTGCCCTTTTTGTATCATGTATATATATATATATATATATATATCACATAGTAAAAACACTGATATCTTGTCCTTTTGTATCTTATGTTGTACGTATTACACAGTAAAACACTGATGTCTTGTCATTTTGTATCTTATATTGTATATATTACGTAGTAAAACACCAATGTCGTCTTATTATGTAGTAAAACACCGATGTCTTGCCGTTACGTATCTTGTGTTGTATATATTATGTAGCAAACCACTGACGACTTGCCCTATTGTATCTTGTGTTTTATATATTACGTAGTAAAACATTGATATCTTATCTGTTTGTAATTCGCATTGTATGTGTTATATAACAAAACACTGATGTCTTGCCCTTTGTATCTTGTGTTGTATGTATTTCATCATAAAACACTAATGTCTTGCCCTATTCTATCTTGTGTTGTATATATTACATAGTAAAACACTGTTGTCCAGCCCTTTTGTATCTTCCATTGTATATATTACATTCCAAAACACTGATGTCTTGCCCTTTTCTATCTTCTGTTCTATATATTACGTAGTAAAACACTGATTCTTGCCTTTTGGATCTTCTCTTGTATGTATTACACAGCAAAACACTGATATCTTGTCCTTTTGTATCTCGTGTCGTATGTATTACATAATAAAACACTGATGTCTTGTCCTTTTGTATCTTATGTAGTATATATATTATGTAGTAAAACATTGATGTCTTGCTGTTTTGGAACTTGTGTTCTATATATTACATAGTAAAACACTGATATCTTGCCCTTTTGTATTTTGTGTTGTAAATATTTCATAGTAAAACACTGAAATCTTGTCATTTTGTATATGTTGTTGTTGTTGTATGTATTGTAAAATACTGAGGCCTTGCCCTTTGTGTCTTGTGTTGTATATATTACATAGTATAGCATTGATGTGTTAATTTTTTCTATCTTGTGTTTTATATATGTATAATACACAGTAAAACACTGATGTCTTTTCCTTTGGATCTTTTGTTGTGTATATATTATGTAGTAAAACACCAATGTATTGTCTTTTTGTACTTTGTATTGTATATATTACATTGTAAAACATTGATGTCTTGCCCTTTTGTACCTTGCTTTGTATATACTACACAGTAAAACACTGATGTCTTGTCCTTTTGTATCTTGTGTTGTATATATTACATTGTAAAACACTAATGTCTTGCCCTTTTGTATCTTGTGTTGTATATATTACATTGTAAAACACTAATGTCTTGCCCTTTTGTATCTTGTGTTGTATATATTTCATAGTAAAACACTGACTTCTTCCCCTTTTGTATCTTGTGTTGTATATATTTCATAGTAAAACATTGGAATCTTGTCATTTTCTATCTGTTGTTGTACATATTAAACAGTGAAACACTAATCTTATGCCATTTTGAAACTTGTGTTCTATATATTACATACTAGAACACCGATGTCTTGCCCTTTTGTATCTTGTGTTGTATATATTACATAGTAAGACATTGATATCTTGCCATTTTGTATCTTGTGTTGTATATATATATTACATATTAAAACATTAATGTCTTCTCTTTTGTATCTAGTTCTGTATATATTACATAGTAAAACACTGACGTCTTGTCATTTTGTATCTTATGTTGTATATATTACGTAGTAAAACACTGATGTCTTGTCATTTTGTATGTGTTGTATATATTAAATAGTAAAACACTGATGTCTTGTCCTTTTGTATCTGTGTTGTATATATTACATAGTAAAACGTTGATGTATTTCCTTCTTTGTATCTTGTGTTATACATATATTACATAGTAAAACACTGATGTCTTGTCCTTTAATATATTGTTGATTGTTGTTAACAATAAAAAAGATAAATACTACACCTCATGATGTATTTTGGCTTACTGAATGTGAAATGACACTTTCCAGTGTCTTAGTATCCCTTCTATTATTTGACAATTTTCCTTGGTTACTAATAAAAATGTATGGAAAGTATCTTTTGTAAATGGGAGGGTAAAAAAATTGGAACAGGGCATTTTATATCAGTTATGGCACTTTTATATCTTTAAAGACTTACACACTTTACTAAACTTGACAGATATGTAAATAAAGCTGAATCTGTGCTTAGCTCTAATTCAAATTATCAAATTGAACAAATTCAGTGTTTTACTCTCATGTTTCATCATACTTATGTTTGTAACTACAATGACATTTAAATTATACAATTCTAGTAACAGTCAGCTCCTAAGTACCAATAATTATTCTTCTTACTTCTGTTACTGGTCTTCTTACCTTTACAGAAACATCTTATTGATTTCAAAGTCACAAGAAATGAAACTAATTTATTTCATCATCAAATGTAAGCATCTAACAACTTTTTCTCATGAAAATAAAAATAGTCTACAATATTGTAAAGGCCTTAAAAAATTATTGTGTTTATAATATGAATAACAAGTTACAAGTATAATTCTGACATTAGTTGATTTAAGTGTTTGTAAATAAATTTTTTAACATAAACTGTGAGTTGTAAATTTCATATGCAATTAACAATTATAATTGATTCTTATTATCAATGCAACTTATACTTCTATGACACGGTCATTTTTTTTCAGTAATGGTAATTCTTTGTTTAATTACAACATAGAAAAAATTAAAATACATAGGATCATTTCTTCTCATTGGTGAAATTTAAATGAAAAAAGTACAAACTTTGATACAATCTTTAAAATTACAAACAAAGGAAAAACAATAATTGTCTATACACTGTATGAATAAAAGCTGAAATGCATTTTTTGGAATTTGTTTTCTCTAAAATGTGATCACAAAAATCATTAAACTTTTGCCAAGAAGAAAAAATCCCTATCTACACTGTAATTTTTAATGGTTTCTAGGTAACATAAATGTTTACTTGATTCGTGAAAACCTCTTCCTATGATATTTGACTAGAAATCTTCATTAAATATATTCTTGACCTCCTCCCCATCATATTAAAAAAAAGGTTTTTAAATAATTTTGACAATGAGTGATCAAGTAGCTTAGTTTCTAAGACTCTTTTGTCGGCCGAGCCGATTTATTTGGAAATTGTTATTAACAAGTAGGGAACAATTCAAAGCATTTATCTAAGTTCAACTTTTACAAATTTCAAATTTGAGCCTCCTGTATCATGTATCAAAAGGGTTTCGATGATCTCAAGACTCAATCCATAGGTTTACATGAAAAAGGGTTTAGATATGTAAATGATCATTCAAAATATACATCAACATTTATATTTTTCTAATGATGAATTACAAAGATTTTGAGGAACTGTCAGAATTAGTTTCATGTACTAACTTGAAAACTGATAAGGACACATAAATGGTTATTCAAAACAAGATATTTTTCAGCAGTTCTTGTTTCACAAATTTTTATGGGTATCTTACTAACGTTTTTCCAAAAACTATTGAAATGTATGTCATACAAAAAAAGTCACAAAACCCTTAACACTTAAGAATGTCCAAGTAACAATGCAAGTTTAATTAATGTACCCTAAAGTGTGATCACGTTTCTATATCAAAATACAACAAACCTCGGCAACTCCAAGGTCAGATATTTTTAAAGTTCCACAAGTTGTCAACAGCAGGTTTCCTGGTTTAATGTCTTTGTGAATTATCCCTTGACTGTGTAAGTACTCCAAACCATCTAATAGCTGACAGAAATACCTATAAAAGATGTTATCTGGTACAGTACACTGCATCAGCCACAATTTGTTATTGAATTATTATCTGCATAATGATTACCTCTAGAATATTTTATCAGTCACAATCTTAACATAGAAATTGACTTTCCAGCACAAGCATTTAAAAGCTTAAATACATATTCTGGCATAAATTTACCTAAACACCAATGCAGCTTTTGTAATACAACTAGACTATGAGACTCTTGGGTGTGATCAAAGAAGAGAAGACTGTATCTTAAAATTGCATTTACTACAACAAATTTAAGCCACTCTTGTGTTAGCAGCTACAAAAGAAAATCACTGTCACTGACTCAAACTGTATGTTACATGAGCACCTCCATTATTAATGATTCAAAGCCTCCATTGTATCAGTACAGGCAAAGAAAAATCACCCCAATTGCCACAGATTCAAACCTTCTATTCTATCAGCACAGGCAAAAAGAAATCACCCCAACTGCCACAGATTCAAACGTTCTATTGTATCAGCACAGGCAAAGAAAAATCACCCCAACTGCCACAGATTCAAACGTTCTATTCTATCAGCACAGGCAAAGAGAAATTACCCCAACTGCCACAGATTCAAATGTTCTATTGTATCAGCACAGGTAAAGAGAAATCACCCCAGCTGCAACAGATTCAAACCTTCTATTCTATCAGCACAGGCAAAGAGAAATCACCCCAACTGCCACAGATTCAAACGTTCTATTGTATCAGCACAGGTAAAGAGAAATCACCCCAGCTGCAACAGATTCAAACCTTCTATTCTATCAGCACAGGTAAAGAGAAATCGTCCCAACTTCCACAGATTCAAACGTTCTATTCTATCAGCACAGGCAAAGAAAAATCACCCCAACTGCAACAGATTCAAACCTTCTATTCTATCAGCACAGGCAAAGAAAAATCGCCCCAACTGTCACAGATTGAAACTTTCTATTCTATCAGCACAGGCAAAGAAAAATCCCCCCAACTGCCACAGATTCAATCCTTCATTTCTATCAGCAGCTGCAAGGTGATATAATTTCCACATCCACTGATTCAAACCTTCTACTGCATCAGTGGATGCAAGGAAAAATTATCTCCACTTTCACTGACTCAAACCCTCCACTGTATCAGCAGCTGTGAAGAGAAATCAACTCTAATTTCACTCAATTAAACCCTGTTGTTTTAGCAGCTATAAGGTAAAATTATCTCCACTGCAATTAATATAAAACTTTATTTCAGCAGTTGCAAGGGGAAACTACTTCCATTGCATCAGCAGTTGCAAAGGGAAATTAAGTACTGTGCATTGCTCCATAGCTTGATGGTAAAGATAATCAAATGTTTCTTCAATTGTGTTAAAGCCCAAGTAATGAAGCTGAGAAAATACAGGCTTTCTGATGAATGAAAACCTATCCAAATTAAACAGAAAGATAATGTAAACCTTGTACTAAAGCACATAACGTATACCTATAATCTAAAATGTGAGTACATCATAATGACAAGGGTGAAGAAACAGTTCTGTCATTCATGTAAAATTCAAAAGTAACAAAATATGTTAAAAATAAAATTTTTAGAGCTTATGCTAAATTAGAATATTAGTCAATCATTCATGTAAAATTCAAAAGTAACAAAATATGTTAAAAATAAAATTTTTAGAGCTTATGCTAAATTAGAATATTAGTCAATCAAAATACCTGTATACTTGGAGATGCTCCTCCTAAAAAAAATCAACATTTTCAGTCCTAATAAAATCTCTTCTGAACTAGTAAATTTGAGTAAACTGTGAAAGATGTCAAATGTAAAAGAGAGAGATGGTGGATACATAAAGAAAATGCAAGGTATGTGAGCGTAAAATAACATTCAAGTTACATGTAGAGTATTGTAAACATATGCTGAATTTCATAAACACGCTAAATAAGGTTCTTCAAAACATAGTTGGTAGAATTCTTCTGAAATCTGAACAAGTTATTCCTTACATTCTTTCAGCCATATGATCTGAGTATAAATAAGCTTTACAGTAAATGACAACGAATCTAATTTAGAAAACAGTGATAACCTGTTTCACATAATCTAGTCAAGCTTGATTTGAGAAGGGTGATCAAAGCTTCACACTCAAATAAGCCAAACATTGGAATTTTAAAAGCAAAACTTTCTGAAGTAAAATATACAAGGCAAATATAATCTGACTGTGACTAAATATTTGATGACAGTCACTGTGGCCTTGCAGTAACATAGTAAAAAAAATATATGGAATGTGACATTATTATCTAGTCTTCAATTAAATGAACATTTTATTTTAAACTGAAGTTAAATATAAGGAAACAACAACAAAAGAAATAATTCTACAAAATAAAACAACAATTAAATACCAAGGAGGCATTTGAAAATCATAATAATATTATGTATTATGACAAACTGGTTACAGACACAGAGGAGGAGTGTGGTATCTATCAACAATCTAGACTTCTAGAAAATTGTCAGATTTCAGCAACAGTGTTCCTTAAATGGTATTATTTTTTAATTACGTCAAATATTTGGTAGTTGAAGACAATAGCACAATTAATTTTTATGTCTATAGATACATATAACGCTTATATTTGGTTATGAAATATTACTAAACTTTAGGCAAAGTTAGATGTTTAACAAATTGAATGAACACATGAAGTTAATTCATGGAGATGAGATTGAGCTTACTGCTTAATATTTATAATTTTATTAAATTCATAATGTGTTAAAATTACACTATCTTTAGAATACTATTGGTGTAGTTTGAAAACATGTGTTACATAACATTATTAAATGCGTTTTTTTAAGTAGGTAAAATTACAAAACAAAAAGATAAATGAGCACATTTTTCTGCATAACACAATGTTCTTTCTTTGAAACAACTTGAATATGACAGAAAAAAGATTTTCTTTTGTAATATAAATATTTCTTGATTATTCTTTGAACTTGCATGTTACAAAATTATGTAACAATAATGCTATCCTAATTGGGAGAGATATCTCCAGAAAATATCCTATATACGTGATTAGATTGAGAATGGAGAGCTATTGTAAAAGATTCAAAAAGAGACAATAGCTAACTAGTTAAACTACTGTTTTAAGGCAGACTTTAATCATAAAACTAAGTAAACGAATTGAATACCCAAGGGGGATGTACATCATTGGAATCATAACATTTTTCAGATAAACTATAATTTTCATATCTGGAAGTAATGAGCCCTCAGCAAAATGTCTGATGAACTGTGTAGATTAAAGCATGCACTTAATAACAGTTTAATTATTTTTATATCTCCAATAAATGATCAAGTTATATTTTCAAATAAGGTCTGTGGATGATCTGTTGATCTTAAAAGAATCTAAGTGAAAGCCCTATGTAAACAAATAGTTTCATAACTTTATAATGTATTCTCATTCAAAATCCTCCTTTCATTTAAATAGTACATAAATATATATTGTGAAGGGTATTTACTTAAAAGCACAATGTTTAATTTTTTAAATAACACAATTACAAATATGATATGCACTTTTATATAGATGTTTTGTTTTGTTTTTTATAGCTATACCAAACTTGTACATAAAAAATATCACACACTGAGAAATATGATATGCGGCATTAGTAGTTACCAAAACAAAGTAAAACCAGCGTGTTTACTAAACAAAACCTTTGTAAAAGTTCACTCCTGTTTTATCAAGTAATACTTTGAAGCTGAGTCATTTATATAAATAAATTTTTTTTCTTGCAAAAATATACAGACAATGCCATTAGGTCACTATTTCATTCACTTATTAGGTTAACGTTTTGGTAGCTTTTATCTAATCCAAATCATTTCTTTCATTACATAACTTAATTTGGTAATACTCGATTATATTGAAGCTATTTAACAAATTTTTGGTAATACTCCATTATAATGAAGCTATTTAACAATTTTTGGTAATACTCCATTATACTGAAGCTATTTAACAAGTTTAATACTCCGTTACATTGAAGCTATTTAACAAGTTTAATACTCCGTTACATTGAAGCTATTTAACATGTTTAATACTCCGTTACATTGAAGCTATTTAACAAGTTTAATACTCCGTTATATTGAAGCTATTTAACAAGTTTAATACTTCATTATATTGAAGCTATTTAACAATTTTAATACTTCATTATATTGAAGCTATTTAACAATTTTAATACTTCATTATATTGAAGCTATTTAACAAGTTTAATACTTCATTATATTGAAGCTATTTAACAATTTTAATACTTCATTATATTGAAGCTATTTAACAAGTTTAATACTCCGTTACATTGAAGCTATTTAACAAGTTTAATACTCCGTTACATTGAAGCTATTTAACAAGTTTAATACTCCGTTACATTTAAGCTATTTAACAAGTTTAATACTCCGTTACATTGAAGCTATTTAACAAGTTTAATACTCCATTACATTTAAGCTATTTAACAAGTTTAATACTCCGTTACATTGAAGCTATTTAACAAGTTTAATACTCCGTTACATTTAAGCTATTTAACAAGTTTAATACTCCGTTACATTGAAGCTATTTAACAAGTTTAATACTCCATTACATTGAAGCTATTTAACAAGTTTAATACTCCGTTACATTGAAGCTATTTAACAAGTTTAATACTCCGTTATATTGAAGCTATTTAACAAGTTTAATACTCCGTTACATTGAAGCTATTTAA